GATGTCCTCGCATCTATGACATGGCAGAGGACACCTGAACTTAGGCTCCCAATTCTTAAGTCAAGTCTGATGATGCCGATTGCTCTTTGCCCTCCCTGGTTGAAGCCTTGTATCATTAGACGACTTTGGGCAAGCTCATCTGTAGATATACCAAGGTCCTTCACAGCTCGGAGGGATAGGATGTTGACAGCTGAGCCTTGATCAACCATAATTCTTTTGAGTTTTTGCCCACGGGTGTAGCCTTCAACAAATAATGGGCGATTGTGTGGCGTGCCTCCAAGTAACAAGTCTTCATCCTTGAAGGTAATTTCCGTGGAGTAGGAAGTAGCCTTATGCATTAACACTTCCTCATCCTCGGTGTGTTTAGGAGATGGACATTCACCTCCATCTTCTGGCTTGTCATTTGTATTTAGGCAGGAGCTAGCACGGTCTACCCCTTGAAGATTAAATCCTTTTGGCATATATTGAGCCAAAGGAACTGGTGCTCGTGGTTTCTTGACATGCCCCTTCGTCTTTAGTCTGCGGGCATTGCCACTTGTTGAGGTTTTCTCAAGCCGACTTCTCGCTGTGTGCTTAGGATGTCTCCCAGGCTCAACTTTCTTCTTTCTATGAGTGACTATCACCCATTTTCCTTCAGATGTGCTATCATTTTGCTGTGGTTTTGAACTTTGACCAGCAGCATACTTAACAATGAAGGGGAGTGGACGCTTCCGTTGTTTTCCATCTTCCTTTTCAGTACACAGCGGAGCGAACCGTCCGGGCGTAATCGAGATTTGATTTGAGCTCGCTTTGGCATCGGCAAGCTCAATTTTCCCATCCCTGGCCAGTGCCATTACTTTATCTTTGAAGATAAAACACTTCTCAATCGGATGACCAAGAAGTCGGTGGTACTTGCAATAGTGTGGATCATCCACCCTTGAAGCTTCCTCAGGACGTTTCATTTCTGGCAGCTCAATGAGTCTAAGTTTGAGTAGCTCATCAAACATGGGAGATACATCGGAATCCATGAAAGGATAAATCTTCTCTTGCCTTTCTTCAATTGTCGGCCTTCTACCACCCCTTGACGGACCAGAAAATGGTCTTGGCCTAGGCCTTTCAGTTGCCTTAGTGAAGACTGTCATAGGAGTAGCCTTCACATTCATCACTTCTTTCTTTTCCTGCTTTGGAAAAGGTTTGTTCCACTTTTTAACTTCTTGTTTTCCAGGTGCATTGGAGGAGCTAGGCAAGTTCAATATATTGAGCCCTCCGCTGGCTTCGATGCTCAATTCCATGTCGTGAGCACGACTGGATAACTCCTCAAAGGACTTTGGCTTAATCCCTTGTAGGATATAGGAGAGTTCAAAGTGCATTCCTTGGATGCACATCTCAATTGCAGAACTTTGAGATATTCTTTCTTTGCAATTCAGGCATAGTTCCCTCCACCTTTCGATGTAGGTACCGGCGCGTTCACCCTTCCATTGGCGAGTAGTGGTGAGTTCCAAGAAGCTGACCGTTCTCCTTGTGCTATAGAAACGAGTTAAGAACTCACGTTCCATATCATGCCAGCTATCAATGCAACCGGGCGCAAGGTCAGTGTACCAATCAAACGCAGTTCCCTTTAATGAACGGACAAACTGCTTTACCAACAGATCGCCATAAGTCCCCGCATCATTGCATGTCTCCACAAAGTGGGCAATGTGCTGTCGGGGATTTCCTTTGCCATCGAATTGCTGGAACTTAGGAGGTTGATAGCCGTAGGGCATTTTCAACTCCTCGATTCTTTGTGTGTAGGGCTTAGCATAGGAATATGAAGGTTGGCCTTCATCCAACTTGCCTTTGATGGCCCCCATTATGTAGTCTTTCAACTGATCCACCGGTATCATACCTTCGGTAACTGGAATAGTTTTCTCAGTTGCAGGTAAGTGGGAAGCAGCTTCTCCTACCACATGGCTAACATGAGGTGGTGGTGATTGCTGACCAACCTCTTCTTGCCCTTCAGGTTGCTTTCCTGGAGCCCGGCTTCCTTGCTCCTCCATGATGCTTCCTACCCTATTATCGAGGGTGTTAAGCCGTTTCTCTTGATTTTGGAGAGCGACAGCCATTCCTTCCAGAGACCTAGCAATTCTAGCTAATTGCTCCTCCACAGACTCTGTGTTTGTCGCCATGGCCGGCATAACATTGTAGACATGCGACCACTCAGGTGCAGCCTTCCATAAAGGATGTGGCGGAGTTACGGGGGAAGTGCTCCCGCTACTAGCGTTCCCTTGCATAGAAGTTGGACTACCACTATCGGTAGCTCCCTTGGGAGAGGGTGGACTTCTAGCAAAAGAAATTGCCTTTGAGGCAGCAGGGGCCTTGTCGAGCCTTCGAACCACACGTCGTGCCATGGACTGAGGTTCAGGCACTTGGACCCCCAAATCCTTTGCGCGGTTCCTTGTCAGCGGACCATGCGTTTTTGGGGTAGTGCCAGAGCTAGCTACAGGCGTAGACTTGGACTTGGTAGCTTGGGCATAGGTCCTCCTGAACATGGGATTGTTCGATGCCATTTGATGCGCAGGTAGAGGTATAGTAGTAGTAGAGAGATGAGAGGCAGAGCGGTCCCATTGGGTGTGCCAAAATATGTAAACGCGAAAAACTTGAATTGTATATATTCAAGATTCAAAGTATCGGTTACAATGAAGTATCAAGTATATATCAAACAGGAAGGGGTACAATCTCTGTATATGAGAAGTCCTCTGATTCTCTACTAGAAGTATGCCTATTAGAAGTGTCCAAATTTGGAATATGCCAAATTGGAAGTGTGCCGAGTTCAGAGTATGCTGAACTTAAAGTAGTTCTTTGTTGGAAGTATGCCGAATCCGGAATATGCCGAATTGGAAGTGTGCCGAGTTCAAAGTATGTTGAACTGGAAGTATGCCAAGTTCGGGAGTATGCCGAACTGGAAGTATGCTGAATTCGGGAGTGTGCCGAATTGGAGTAATTCCTTGCTGAAGGGCCTCCGGAGTTATGTAGCTTGTTCTTCAATGAAGGGCTAATATGCAGCTTGATCTTCAAAGAAGGGCTTCCGGTGTTCAAGTGGCGTGTTCCTCAGCGCGGTATACGCAGTACAACTGCGGGCGTGTTCCAGACGATATCCTGGAGAGATTTCGGCAGAGCTTCGATATGCAGATTTCCAGAGCCCTTCTTTGAAAATGAGCCCACTATATATAGTGGTGAGGGTGAGGGAAAATCTCCAACCAACTCTTAATTCCTTATTTAATTTAATTTCTTTAATTAAATTAAGGAATGTATCGGGACACTATTATGTCCAGGTTCATGATTTCATTAAATTTCCAAATAATATCAAATATTCAAATTTCTCAAAATTATATAATCCACATATAATTTTAGTGGGCCACGACCAAGTCAGACCCGCTAATTAGCAACCCAATTACTCCAAGCAGCCCGGTCCAACTCACTTAAATATTTCATCATTTCGGGCTGAACAATCCAACATCCAATTACATTTAATTAAGCAATTAAACCAATTAAATATTTAATGGGCCATTTAATTAACCCAATTAAATAAATATTAGTCCAATTAACTTAATTAAAGTAATTAATTTAATGATCAATTACCCGTCACGGTCCAACGATATTATTTAAATTTTCCAATGCCTACAGTTTCCATTTGGGATTGAAGATTTTCCGGCCAACGATGGACCATGAAATTACATATATATCCTCAAAGATCACGATCAACAAATGGTTAAATAGACGGATGACTAAATCGTGTTAAAATTGCAAAGTTAATGACTTAATTGGTTGAAATTAAAAGTCGAGGATCAATTTGTGAATTTAGCTATAGTCGAGAGACCATTTTGGGTATTTACTCAAAAAAATATACTAATCAAGAAACATGTTGGTTACTTATGGAATTGTAATAGTTTAAGAACAATGTAATACTTTTAAATAAAAATGTAAAAATATTACATTTTAATTTTCTTTAAGTATTAGATTTACCCTTATGAGTAACAAATATTTTTTCTTAATTAGGATCCTATTTTTCAATATAAATATTACATTTTTCATATTAACATGATTTGTCTCACGGACCTCATACAAGTTTTTTGCAATTTAAAAACTTAATTATAGTTTAAATAAAATACCCTTTTAAATAAGAGTAGTTATGATGTGCATCATGGTGCATACGGATGCAAAAATGACGTCGTTTTATTAAAAACGCGCGTCTCCCCTTAATAAAAAAAATTCAGGTTCGATTCCCAGCAACAGCATTATATTGTTCATTCATTCTGGAATTTTAGTTCATAGATTATGGAATTTTAGTTCATTGATTATGGAATTATAGTTCATCGATTCTGAAATTTTAGTTCATCGATTATGGAATTATAGTTCATCGATTATGGAATTATAGTTCATCGATTCTGGAATTTTAGTTCATATGTTGTTGCTGGGAATCGAACCTGAATTTTTTTTTTTTAAGCAGAGATGCGCGTTTTTAATAAAACGACGTCGTTTTTGATCCATATGCACCATGCATGGTGCATACGGATGCACAACATAATTTACCTTTAAATAATGCTTTCCAAACAAAGGGATTATTGGATTAAGTTGTGAGTGGAGTATGGACGAGCTTGATAATACAGCTGGTTTTTAATAATTATTTACTTTTTTTTTAATCACCATTCGCATCCAGCCAATTATACGGTCCACAAAGTTTTGTGGACCATGATCCTTAACGACCGACACTATAGTGAATCTAAATTGACATTGTCTCACGTATTATTTTTATTATATTATTAAATGATACTGCAATAAATTGAAATGAAACTGTAGTTGTATTAAAATGAAATTGCGGTATATACAAAATGAAACTGAATAACAATTTCATATATTTGAGTGTATATTGTCCAATGAAACTGTAATTATATCAAACTGATACTGTAATTGTGTTGAAATGAAACTGAAATGCATATTTAATGTCTGAACTTGTAATTTGCCATTCACATCTTATCCTCCCCATAAGGCCCATATATCTCGAAGAATTTGCACCTCTCACACATTACTTGCATAATTGCATTTCCTATTTCTTCACTTAGAGAGAGAGAGAGAGAGAGAGAGAGAGAGAGAGACATTCCGGGCTGAAAGTGCGAGAGAAATGACGATAGTGGACGGAGTGGTTGAGGAACTGGTAACACAGGGGGTAAACTCGTTGGTCCGAATTGTGTCGGACAATGTGTCGCTGGTTCGTGGCATAAATTCTGAGATAAAAGATCTCACCTCCGACATCCAAATGTTCAACGCCAGGCTGGTGGAAGCTTCCAAGAACCCAAGGGCCAATGACCACCAAGTTTTGAGACTAATAGTGAATAAATTTGGAAGTGTTGTGAATGAAGCCGAGGATACGATTGCGGACTACGTTGTACTGAAGAAGAAACATGGAGGCAGTGCCTTGTCAAAATCTTTGGATAAGATTCCACTATGTGGAAAGGTGAGTGCCTATGCGAGCGAGATCCAGTCAATTAGGAGAAAGATGAATGCAATTCGGCAAGAGCACGAACAAGAACTTCAATACCTCATGCAGTACGAAATCAAAGACGAAGACATGGCTTTGAAAACTTTCCACCAGGTACGTACCACAACAACTACTATTTCACATTATTATGTATGGGATTGATGGATAAGTTGGGAAGGTTATGCTTTTAAACCGAGCACCCTCATCAGTATTGCTTTTTAATCAGCGTTTTAAGCTTACAAGAAGAGAGATCAAAGTGAAAGAAAGACCAAAAAAAAAAAAAAAAAAACTTTCTTTTTACCAACGTCTCATTGGATTTGACCCAATAGCTTGATGTACAAAAAGAAATCATTCAGGCTCAACCAATTTATTTGGTGTTCAGAAGTAACTCAACCAAGATTGCTTAGGAGTTAGGACATCGATCTCCAATGTATACAAAATAGGGGAGAAGAGGGGAAAAATGATTGGATGGAGAAAAAAGGGGAGAGATAAAGTTTACTCCGGAAAAAACTTGTACCTACCCGTGGCGCGTAGCCAACATGAGCCAATGAAATGGCGCGGGTTGGCCACGTGCCATTAAATGTGTAGAGTCCTTACCTTCTGTTTTACTATTTAAATTTTAAAAAAAAAAATTGTTTAAAAATCAAGAAATTCAACGACTTAAATTTTATTTTTTTTGCTTTGTATTTTTTATTTGTTATTCTATTTTTTTAAGTTCTATTTTTAAATTTATTTTTAAAATTTTGTATTCGATTTGGAATGTTAATTTGTTCCGACAAAAAATTTTGAAGAAGAATTTTAATTTATGAAATTATATTTTATAATTAAAAATTTATGTTATTAAAATAAAATTTTGAAATTATAATTATAAAGTTAAAATTATTAATGGTAGAAAAGTAAATAAAATAATAGATGATATGTAAGAATGGAAGGAGTGGGCCCACAAAAAGGAAAGAAAAATGGGAGAAGAATTAGAGAGAAAATAAGAGAGGAGATTGTGTGGTAATGCAAAGGCAATTTATATCGTGCACTAGGGCGCACATTGCATTGTGCGCCATGGTGCAAAACGACTTCATTTTAGAAATTTTTTTTTTTGGAAATTTCGCTTTCCCTTGTCAGCTGTTAATTTTCTTTAAAAAAAATATCATGTTTCGAAAATGTACATAATTGTATAAAAGAATGTACATAATTGTATAACAAATTAAAATAAACGTACTCTTTTTTGAAAAGATAATACACATAATATAACATAATACATAATACACATAAACTCTTAACATAATACACATAAATTCCATGTTTCGGATGTACATAATTGTATAAAACTGTACATAATTGTATAAAGCGAAGCATTTACCGTTCAAGGTAACCGCTCTGATACCACTTATTGGTCCTGGTAGGGTCAAGAGAGAGTCTAGAGGGGGGGGGGGGGGGGGGGGGGGAGGGATAAATAGACTCTACTCAAATTTTTAAAACAACTCCTTTCTGAAGTTATGCACAGCGGAAAAAAAATGTGAATTTGTTTTAGAATGTTCTTTGCACGACTTCGTTATGAAAATCTTAGGGTTTGATCAATATGAATCAATGCTAGATAGATAGATAAACGAAAGTAGGGAGAGAGTGAGAGAGCGATTTTTATAGTGGTTCGGCTGTTAACAAAGCTTACTCCACTCTTCTTTCACAACTCGTGAAAGGGTTTGCACTATCACTCCTAGTACAAACTAAACAAGCTAGCTTCCTTGATCACTAAGCCGGACAGCTACTTGTGTAGGTTTTTCAACTCCTCGAGTTTACTCCGCCTCTATCAACATCTTTTTCAGAGTTGAGTGTTGGAAAGAATTGATTATGTTTCTCCAACTTGTGAAATCTTGACTTGATGATGTTTGAATCTTCAAATATAAATTTGCAAGATTTCCTTGTGTTGTGAAGACTTGAAGTCTAGATGATCTCTTTGAAAAACTTGACAACAACACACCGGTTTTTGAGAGCTTTTGGATGATACTTGTTAACAAAGCTTTTGTAGATGAAAATTGAGTGAAAAACCAACATCTTCCTCAGTGGTGAAGAGAGGTATTTATAGGTGAGAAAAAATTCATCTGTTGGAGGGAGATGAAAATTCAAACCTATTATCAAGTGTGTATAAACCACTGGGCATGAAACATTTAATGCGGCTGTACTGTGTAGCCGTTGGTAGAAAAAGTTGTTTGTCTTTTTGTCCCTTTTCACTGACAAAAGTACAAATCATTTAATGCTCCTTGGTTTTTGTGAATATCATTCCTAAGACTCCTTTTGTCTAGGATGATTGCTCAACTGTGAGACATAGACAAACATTCTTCTTGTTCACATGTAGAAATTGTCTATTCAAGTCTGACTTAGACTTTTAGTCTCGAAAACAATTCACAAAAGATTGTCCTTATCTTTCATTTTTCTCTTCAGGTCAAATGATTTCCTGATCATTTGTTGTTTACATGAGTTAGACCCTTCCATCTTTCGGTCTTAGTTGTTCTCTCGGCCTTCTCTTGATCTTTTCTTCTTCAAGTAAACCTAATTCACTAAACATAACTTTGATTCGTGTAAATGTACTACTAAGCACAAATCACATGGTGAGTTGTGGCAACTTTCGTCTAACACGAAAGATGCAAAACAAGGAGAGCAAAGAGGGGTCTACATTCCTAGTTAGTTTGGTATCATCAAAATCTAAATACACGTGTTCCTAACAAACCATCAACCCCAAGATTTCAACATTTTCTTTCTAACAACTTTGAATGTTTTCTCTCTCTATTTAAACTCTATTTTTTTCTCCCTATAGTAAGGGCATTTTTTGCCTATTCATATTTTTCTTTTGTTATTTTTCATGTTTCAACTGGTTTAATTGGTTTAGAATTTTACTAAAAACCGATTGAAAATATAGTTACAAAAAATCAGAGGTTACCTAAAGTTCTAAACCAATTAAATCGGTTGAAACCGAAAAAATAGCAAAAACAAAATATGAAAAGACAAAATTGCCTTTACTAAAAATAGAAAAAGTTATAAGAATGACTAAAAGTGTCCAAAAAATAATAGTTTGGAATCTTAAATGACAAAAACAATAGTCTAGAATTAAATTTGAAATTGCCACCATATACATAGGACTTTGGTGGAATTAACTCTATATACAACAAGCAAAAAGGTGACCAACAAATTATTCAAAGTGTTTTCATTTTATTACTTATTAACACCCAATAAATTTAAATAATTTTATTAACCAGGTAAATTATGGAAATAAACTTTGGGATTTATATACCTTATTATAGGGCTCTTGGCCAAAAAAAACTGTATAGGGGGCCCAAGAAAGTCCAAAAAGAATACCCAATAAGAAACAAATGAGGAGATTAGGAGGATTGGGCCTATTTTGTAGTCTAGCAGCAATTATATTGTGGACCGCGGTCCAAAAACGACGTCGTTTCTTCAAGTAAAAAAATGTTGCGCCGTTACAGTTAACGGAGCGCGCATTTTTTGGTGTGTTAATTACTAACTGAAATTACAGTATATCTAAATTGACACTACCTCACGTATTATTTTTATATTATCAAATGAAACTGCAATTGAATTGAAATGAAACTGCAGTGTATACAAAATGAAACTGAATAACAATTTCACATATTTGAGTGAATATTGTCCAGTGAAATTGTAATTATATCAGAATGATACTGTAGTTGTATTGAAATGAAACTGCAGTGTATATAAAATGAAACTGAATAACATTTCACATATTTGAGTGTATATTGTGCAATGAACCTGTAGTTATATCGAAATGATAATGTAGTTGTGTTTTAATAAAACTATAGTGTATATAAAATGAAACTAAATAACATTTTTCACATATTTGAGTGTATAATATCAAATGAAACTGTAGTTATATCGAAATGAAACTGTAGTTGTGTTGAAATGAAATTGCAGTGTATACAAAATGAAACTGAATAACAGAGTTACTTTTTGCGGAACGGCGCGAAACGGGTGTCGTTTCTTTACTTAAAGTAATGACATCATTTTTGGACCGCGGTCCACAATATAATTTGTTGTAGACTAGTTGGACTCCTTATTCCCAATGTAAAAAAGTTGTATAAATACTATCCATCACCCCCCCCCCCCCCCCCGGCTCATATAGGAAAAAGGAAAAGTAATTATCATTAATACAAAATATTTATTCTCTTTATATACTCTATATATTTCAGTGTTGCAAAAGACGCTAGGCGCCCTATTTTTTTTTCAAGGTTATTCGCCAAAACAACGTCGTTTTGGCGAATAACCTTTAAAAAAAAATCGGGGTTCGACTGCCTAGATCACCCAGGCAGCCGGCTGCGGAGGAAGCCGATTCCGGCGTTCCTCGACGCGACCGGCGCCACCTAGCGCATAGACACGATTTTAGCAACATTGTATATTTCTCACATACTCGTTATTTTAATGGTAGTGTTGGTCCGCCGTTGAATGCCCAAAAGTCATAAAACTAACATTGGCGTCATCCGTGAGGACAATAGTAAAAACTTACATTTGTTCCTTCTTAGTAAACCCAAACACAAACCCCAAACCCTAAAACATAGCTATTACTCGTTGACTAGCCCAATCTGATTGGTCCACTAACGACTTGCGTGAAACCCTAACCCGACCCAACTCCCAGAAGAAGACCCCCAAGAAGAAGAGATGCGGTCATCATCAAGACTGGTCGCTGAATGTCTACCGGCCGGTCAAGACGGACCCCACCCTGTAGTAGTGGAGGCCACAGTACGCTTCCTGAAGCCCTACATCGTGACCTTACATTGAGAATGATGGTCCCCACTACGATGGACCCAAAGGCAAAGGCAACCAAATTGGATGGGGAGTGCAAGCAGGTCTAGAACTCCTTGAAGTAGTTGACCGATCAGTGCTTCAACAAAGCGATTTATGAACCCCAAGGCAGATGGAAGGAAGTACTTATAGGGAAGAGCCGTGAAAAAAGAAGTGACACATGGCACCACCACATTAGCAGCCAAGTGGAAAGGAAGGATGTGACCGTTGCTCTTCGGTATTCGTGCAACCCACAAAAAATGGTAGAACTCGCGGAAGACTTGGTCGGTAACCCCTGTTAGTGACCGGTCGAAAATTTCGTGGAAGAACACCATCAAACTTACTTGTCAGACACGGTGGGAATCGGTTGGATATTTCGAAGAACGAACTATATTTCCTAAGATACTTTCTCGAGACATCGACTTTACAAAATCACAAGAAAGTGAGGGACTGGATGATGAATGGTATACTACATAGACCGGTCGAATCACCCACAAGGCCACCGATCAAACATAAGGCCTTGAATTTAGGGTCCACCCCAAGAAA